ATACCTACTACAATTCACGAAGGAAGGACCAACATAGTTCCATGTAGAAGCTCATAGCTCACACACATAGCACAAAGCTCGATTTGGTGTTTAATGCATATCCTCGCCGGCAGAACTGCTTCCACTTTTTCGCCAGGTTTGCGTCCGTGGGAAACGGAAAAAAAACTTATATAGCACGCTTTCCTTTTGTTTTCACTATTACACTTTGCCACTGCACACTTCATTTTGCTTTTTAATGTCTCAATAATTGTTTCAAACCACGCACAAATATTAACGCACAAATATTAAAATTGTTATTTGGTTTTTTCGTATGCTCACATTCAACAATTGCACCAAGATGACGTCACGCACACAGCTCATTCTGTCAAAATCACAAAGAGCGGATTAGCGGTACCGCGATTGGCGCAATCTCTATTTCTCTCAATCGTGTACAGTAATAAACCTTTTCGCAGTTTTTCACCATTTGGTCCCCGAGGAGTACTTTTGGGTTGTGTGCAGCGTGTTCGTTTTGCGCGCACGGCAACACTTACTGTGGGGAATTTCGCCTCACGATTAGAAAAAGTACATTTCGAGGATAAAATATACACAATTATGGCTGCGTATCTTTGTACATTCCGGATAATCCCATTTCACAGCCGGAATAAACAGAATGCGTTTGAAATATACGTTGACATATCATCAGGAACGTTCTAAAGAATAAGTAAACAAAAAAGTTTATTCCAAACGTTCAGAATGAATAAAGAAATGCAGCCTATGTGTTATTTATGAACAAAATGTAGGTTAAGGTTGTGTGCGAGTACGTCTAAATTGCTACCTAAATAGAGAAAAATCCTAAATCACTGGAAAGTGTCGGTAACGCAGTGAATAGGAACAATTTAGATTTTCTGCAAGCATGCTTTTCAACCTAAATTGAACAGTCAAATATATTTGAGCGAGCGATTAAGTGAACAACGATTTTTTGATGTTTTAAATAATTTTCATCGTTGCTATGGCACAAAAAAGAAAATTATCAGAAAGATGTAAGTATAAATTTATTTGATTTTTGCATTCAGATAAGTATATGTGTAATTCGTTGGATGTACATATACTATTTCGCAGGGTCAGAAGAGCAAACGGATTCTTTTATAAATGCCAGGATGGAACATTCTCCTTTTCTGTTGCAAATTCATTATATTGTTAAATAGTTCCAAAGCTACCGCAAAATTATTCATTTTATAGATATATTTATTAAAAGCAACAATTCCAAAACAAACAATTTAGGTTGTCGAACGAACTCGCACAGTTTTAGCAGCTGTTTTCCTAAATTTTAGCAGTGCTGGAAATTCCCAGTGGAATATTAGTATAGGTACTAAAAGTTAGGTAAACTCGCACACAGCCTAAGATAATATTCATCTTTAATGTATGCTGATATTCATGCGTAATGAAGAATAGTATCAATAGTTAAGTACATAAATAACGCTTGTGTTTTATAAACTGGAAAACTCAAATCGTAATTATAGCATTGAATGGAGTTTTCTTAAATGTAAGTTTAAAATAAAAAAAAGTCCATTGTAAGATTAAATTATTTATGAAAACCGTAAATTTTGTGAATTTATCAAGCCAAATTCTAAATTTCCGAATATATTTAAGTCTTTATTTAAAAAAAAAAACAAGGTTTGTATAGCTATACAGATCCCAATGACTGCCAGCACATCCGCCTAGACAGTCCATTAAGCACACCCAAGTTTGAGTGATCTACAAGTTACAAGCGTTTTCAACATTTAACAGTTCATTACCATGTGCGGTGTAATATAACAAATTATACACTGAACTATGATAATCTATACTAGTATCTATAATAATAGACAAAAATTTGCAATGTTTTTACACTTTTGCAATAGTTTCGGGCACTATTACACAGTCATGACTTGTGCCACTCTGCCATAGTACGGCTTTTGCTCCCTTTCATACCAGAATAATTTTGTATACAACTCTGAATCAACAAAATTCATGATCCTTCTCATTATCAACCCTACTCAAAAAGGTTTATTACTGTATATACTGTGATTTCTGCTTTGTGTGTAAAAAAATTATATAATATAAATTTTTTCCTGTATTCAACAGTTGCTCGTTTGGAAATCTAATTTGCATACATTTGATGCCAATAGCTCTCGCAACAAACAAGCCAGTTCTCAAAGAGTCCAAATTGATTTTAGTCATGCAACAGCTCCACATAACTCCGCCATAGACACACCAGTTGCTGGAGTACCAAAAAGCTGTGATGACAGTATTTTAATTGATCCACGACAATCGGTGGCATTGGAATGCGTGATGGAAATTTTCTGGTGCTTGATAGCCAATATACTACAAGAGAGCCATCTCCAAGCAGCTTTACCACACCACACCGTCAACAACAAGAGTCGTTAGATAAAGTAGAAACATACGCTTCTGCTGATAGCATCAGTAACATAAGCAACAGCAGTACCTCGTTTCTACACATGCCAAACAAAAGTAACAACAGCGATGGCCAGAGAACACCAAGCAAATATTTTTAATATTCGTTTTTGCTTATCTTAAGATTTCGTTTGCGCTTAACTGCTTGGAAGGCTCCTGATGCTGCTGATGACTATTCAAAGAAAATGCATTGTTTGTAATTCATTAAATGTGATGTGTACATACGTATGTATTTCTGTTTGTATTTTAAACTATGTACGTTAACAATTTACAGTGTATTAAATTACTAGCTCATACCCGCGGGTTTCACCCCGCGCTTTTATGCAAATATGAAAAATAATTTAATGATGTTAGATTTTATTTCTGTGCCCATTTCGTTATAGCGTTTTTCTTATTGTGAACTTCACATGGGAAAAGTCCCCCATATTCGAAAAATTCCCCTAACCGTAATTGTAATTTTTTTCGAGCGAAACCATAAAATTTGTTCACAAAATTGTTAGCGGGGAACAACTATCAATAAAATGTGAGCATACTTTATTAATAATTTTACTTAATTTTAACTCTTTTATATCAACTAAGGTCTATTAATAAAACGCAGTTGACTCTTTTGGTCAACACTATGGCGGAAAATCCAGATATTGGGAAAGGCTTCCAAAAAGAAAACAAGGAGAAAGTGCTTGCATTTTGGAAGAAGCTACATGATTCCCTCAATAGCATGGGGCCACCATCAAAATCGATCTCCGATTGGAAAAAGGTAACAGCGATTGTACAGTTGCTATACAATGTGCGTCCGTCCGTTCAGCCTGTTTTAATACAATAGGGCTGTTCAGGATCTTGTGCTTATTGTCTTGCATTTGCATATTTCGGCGCATTTTTAAATTCACAACAATAAAATGCAAACGGATGCCGTGGTAGCAAGCATAAAATTTTAAAATGCAAATCCAAGACCATTTCTTCAATATCCTGAACAGTCCTATTAATACTTCAAATGTACCACTACATCTGTTGTTCCGTGGTGGAGGACGCAAGTTGGGCTGGTACTTAAAATTGTTATGTAGAATAATTTAAATATACAATACATAACAGGTCTGGATTGACCAAAAAAGATATGTGCGGAAGAAAGCTGTCCAGAATGCGCAAAACAGAAAAAAGACCGGTGGAGGACCGTGTAAAGAACATGTTTTTTCTGTATTAGAACAGTCAATTTTGGACTTAAACGCGACAATTGAAAGTGTGGAAGGTGTCGAAGGTGGCAAAACTTTTCGTTTGCAACCAACTAAATCAATTGGTAACAAGCAATCTGAAAGAGACAGGCGTGATGAACAAGACGATTTAAATGAAGGCACAGATGTGAAAGAACTCAGTTTTTTGGACAATATCGATTGCGAAAATATCGTTGAAATTGAAACGGAAAATACCACGCCAGCGTTCAAGCCAAAACGAAAAACTCAGGATAAAATTAACCCTTCCGAGCTATTAAGCATGGAGTTGAGTGTTCAAAAAGAAATAAGTGTTAACATTAGCAAGGGTCTGGAAATGCGGAGTGAACACTGCAAAGAAATGGAACATCAATTACAGGAATTAAAACAAGGCATTGAAAACTTTGGAAAAAATCAAGATGATTTACTAACGGAAACAAAACGTCACCATCTAGAAATTGAACGCCTTAGAAAAGTAGAAGTAGAACGTAAACTGGTACTCATAAACAGTCAAATCGAGGTTCAAAAATTGAAAATACTTGCTGCAAAGAGAAACTTAAACCTTAATTAGATATATAGTGCATACATTTATGTAATTAATGAATTATATTTACATTCAGAGTCAAAAGTTAGTATACACTTTGTTCTAATATAATATTCACAACTATTTTCACAAAAAATTAAGGAAAATAACTGAATATTATATTAGAATAAGGTGTTCACTACACTAACTTTTGACTCTGACTGTATTTTATTTTATCATCCAATTGTGAAAAAATTGCTACATTATCTCAGTACAAGAAGTTTTGTCTATATGTTTTAAAAACACTGAATTTTTGTGACATTCTAAGGCTATTTGGATACGATGCATTCGTAATTTCTCTCGCTTTCTATATTAAAAAATTAGTTTTCAAAAGAAGTGGACTTAGAAAGTTTTCACTCCAAGCAGGAGATATGTATTTGTACTACGTTTATTGTACTTCAAACTTTTCAAAATCAAAGGTTGAAAAAAAAAATAAAAACGCTTTTAAGCTAAAACAAAACTAAAATTTTTCAAGTGTGCCATAAACCAATTCCAAATATTAAAAATAGTTCAAGATCCGAATAAGGCAGGACCTTCACCCATCTGTTTAATGAATGAAATTTATTTTTTATGAAATTTAACCTGTTGGGAAATATTTTGCGACTGGGTTGGCCGAAAAAATCCTGGCCAGGATATTTTTAATTAAATATTCAAAAATAATTTTTTTTTTTAATTTTGTATTCATTTGTTTAATCGAAAATGTAATTTTTTCACTAAACAAATAAGTGCAAAATTAAAAAAATAACAATTTTTGAATTTTTAATTAAAAGTATCCTGGCCAGGATTTTTCCAGCCAACCTGCTAGCAAAATTTTCCTAACACGTTAAATTTCATACAAAATAGATTTCATCCACTGAAATAGGTGAAGGTCCTGCGTTATTCGGATCTTCTACTAAAACTGGCTTTACAAATTTTATAAAAGTGAATTTCCTATATTAGCTCTAATACGCTTAGCCTCATTGAGGTATGATGAGTTCGGTTCAGATTGTTCAGACTGTAGGTGTTCAAAATTTTCCGGCTGAGGAGGCGCATTTGAAATAAATGGTGTGTCATCGCATCGATAACTTATGCAAATATTGTGCAACGCACAGCAGACATTAATAATTTTTGCGGCTTTTTTAGGAGCGTAATGCAGCTCTCTTGCTCCTAGTACACACCTCCATCTATTTTTGAAAACGCCATTGGTTCTTTCGACAACGTTACGTGCGCGGGCGTGAACTTCATTAAACTTGCTTTCTGTGGAGCCCTCTCCCGCTGATCTGTGTGGTGTTAGCAGCCAAGGCTCCAATGGATATCCAGCGTCGCCTATGAAAAAAAGAAATGGTATTAAGTGATTCAAAGATTTTATTAAAAATCTACCTAGCAACCAAACATTTCTTCTGCCTCGCAAATAATCCTCCTCCATTGAAACCCTTAATTGACTGGTATTCCAAATTAATGAGTCATGGCAGGCCCCAGGGTGTGTAGCATCGACATATCTGATTGTCATTTTGTCATCACATACCTGCAGGTAAACTTTTATTAGCATGAGTATGCGCACAAGAAAATTTAATTAACTTACCAGCAAAACATTCATACTATAGTAGCCTTTTCTGTTATCGTATGAGTGTTTATTACTTTTAGGGCCTGCAATTTCAACGTGCGTGCCGTCCATGCAGCCAATGATGCCAGGGATATTAAATTTTTGATAAAACCTCAAAGCTATTTCTCGCATCGCTTCTTTGGTAGGCCACGTTATCCACTCATTCCAGTCCATGCAGCCAATGATGCCAGGGATATTAAATTTTTGATAAAACCTCAAAGCTATTTCTCGCATCGCTTCTTTGGTAGGCCACGTTATCCACTCATTGCAAAGGGATGACTCAAACACGTCCAATACTTCAGAAAGGAGTTGGCTGAAGCTCGACTGCGATAAGCCAACATCTACTTGCCTGCCCACGCCTTTTTGGTAAGGTCCTTCACCAAAAAATCTCAGGCAAGCTGATAGCTTTACGACGATGTCTATTGCAAAACGTTTTCCCGCCGTTGGCAAGCCGTTTTGCAAAACATCCAACAAATATTTGAACGTAGGCTTATTGATTCTAAACAATTGGTGAAAACTATAAGAAATATACACAGATATTTTTAACTATTTTTTAAGTATTATTCATTTCATTTGCACCTTGCATTGGGTAATTCAAGAGGATTACACTTGTCGCGTAAAATCCTTCTAGACACCCTTTCAGCCAACTGCTGGCTGGAATTATATTCCTCTTCAATTACACAAAGGCGCAGGTAAGCACTAATCATTTAAATTTTGGTATTTAACACAAAATATTAAGAAAGTTTTCTATGCCGCCAAATCAAAACAAAAACATAAGTGACAGGCCGCGGAAGTTCACAATAGCATGTTAGAAATTCGAACATAAGTTTTCATTCGCACGAAATTCGCGATATGAATTTTTTGTTCATGTGAAATAAAAAATTTATGGGATTGGTTTATTCACATGAAGTTTACAATAAGGCTGAATACTTTTTGAAAGCTGGAAAATTAGTTGAGGCTTTTCTTTGTTAAGGTAATGATGTACATATATAAATAAGTATACAAATACATAATCAAAAATAAGAGAACGACTAAATAATACTGCTTGCAACAAAAACAAATAAACAAAAAAAAAATTCTTGTATTACAATTCAGGTACGGAATTTTACAGATACATATTTTACAAAATATTTACATAGTATTTACAAAATATTTACATAGTATTTACAAAACCGCCCCCAGTGACAGGCTAACAAACAAAGTAAATAATAATAAAAATAGATGTGGTGGGGATATAGGGACTGCACTAAAAAAATACTAGAAAGTTGCAAAGAAAACAAGCATATGAAAATATAAATATGAATATAAAAATATAAATATAAAAAGAAAGGTCTTACGCCTGTAGAAAAGATAAGAAATGTGCAAATCAAAGAGCAAGGAAATGGGAACAAGGATTCGGACTTTGCAGACAGACACCCAGACTGAACCCAGACAGACACCCAGACTAATTTGAAATGTAAATGAGAAAAAAGAAAGGTCTTACGCATAGAAGTGTGCAAATTAAAGAACAAGGAAATGGGCACGGAAGCTAACTACATGGGCAGCTCATTTCAAGACACCCAAACCGATAAAACCCTATTTTTCAGACGGATTCGGACTTTGCAGACAGACACTTGGACTGAAGGCGAACTCTATTGGTGTGTTACACACAAAAACTTAATTTTTTTTAAATTTGGTTGGTTCGCTTTCTTATTAAAACTGTTAACCAGAAAATAAGTTCTTATTCTTATGAAAATACATTTTAAAACATCGGGGTTGCAATTTTCGCAACAATAGTATGGCTCTACGTCTATCATTTTCTCAAATAAGATTTGGGAAAACCCAATCCTGTGACAATTTAAATCGAAATTATCTGTGTAGATTTTTTCGATTTTGGACATAAACTCAACAAATTCATTGGGAGGACTAACAAGATGGTTATTACTAAATTGCTTCTCCATAGTGAAGAAGAAATCTTTTTCAGTAATTCCATCTCCAAACCTTGGTAATGGCATTAAGCAATTATGATGCTTGAAATATTTAAAATACATGTAGCCGCAGAAGTAAACAAAAGCGCTTCGATGAAGAAAACTACTTTCATCAATATCAACCGAAATATCGATTTGGACATCTTGAAATGAGCTTAAACTAGGCCTGGGTAAGCCTTGAAATATTTTCCAGGAAGTATCTCTGACTAAAACATCGTCACAAGCTGTAATAAGGGTGCTATTAGAAAATGATTTCCACTTATCTTCAGGCAAGAGTTCACAGTTCCCTTTATCTACACATCTAATATACCCTATACCCCAGGCTTTCCTAAAGAGATATGAGGATAAACGCTGCGGCGTTATTCTCACATCAAAGGACCCCCCTCTACGAATATGACCAAAAAAATTTTCAATTTTGTCTTGGCATAATTTACGTGTCAATAAAAAAGTGAATTCGTTATGTGACAAGAATCGCCATAAACGACGTAAACTACTAATATTTAGGACCCAACCTTTAATAAAACTATACGTATTGGTAATATCGCGACCTAAGTCGTCGTAAACTTTAATGGAATTCAACAGTAGCTTGAAAGGGTTGTTTGAAATTTCCTACATCCCCAAAGTATATACTATTAAAAATATTAAATAATTTGTCAAAAAAAGGACAAATTCGGCAGTGTTAAAAAAGGAAGGGGATCTTGAACTATTTAAAAGCCCCGAGCTATAGATAGCAAACATTGCGCTTGCCACAGGGTTACTAAAGACCTGCGATGCTAAATGCATGGTCATTTTATCAAAGGTTTTAGGTCTAATATGTGCCGAGGTAAGTTTATGGGTACAGGAAATATCATATTGAGACCCTTGCTCATAGAGATGCACAATATCCATCCAATCTACAGGGCGGCCTTGAAAAGTTACTTTATTTTTCTTGTTTTCTAAACAGTTTCTAGTACTTTTGAGGAGATGCGGAGAGTCGAAAAAATATACGATTTCCTGGCCATTAACTTCGAAGAAGGGTCGTTCTCTGGAAACTCCTACAATTTTCGAAAAACTAACGAAATTCGACCCTTGATCGGTTACCATTTGGCAGGGATAAAGTCCAATACCCTGGAGCTGACCTATGGCTTCGAAAATATATTTTTTCAAAACATCTCCTTTGCACGATTTGTGCAAAATACGCTAAGGGATGCGTCCAAGACTCCCCACCAATGCCTTGGACGAAAATTGTTAAGACACTTGAAGCCACTCTGGAGGTACGACTTTCGTCTCCATAGTCCTCCAGTCCTATAATTGAGTCCCTATTCCTCTCGTATTATACATGGACTTTTAAAGACATTTCGTCGCAACAGATGGAGACATATTTCTGCGCATCTGTGAAACCACGGCTTCTCAGCTCCAGGGCCTTAATGCTGCTGTAATTGCATCCAGGGTTGCGTGGCCTACCTTGAACAAATAGTTCCAGGGTTCTTCGAGAGGGCCAGTTGAAAAGGGGCTTTAAGTACCTAAAAGCAATAGGTGACAGGAATTTTACGGCAAGGGCTAATGTTTTCAACTCCCTATCAAACCTATACCCTTTAGGAGTTCGGGGGGTATTCCTAAGGCAATTCCTCACGCATATTGCAAGATGTGGAGGCAATTTACCACATAGCTCTTCGATTTGGGTGTTCTGACTATTAACAGCCAAATCCGGGTAAGCCTCCAAACTATAAACTTTTTTTTCTAAGATTGCTACCTTTTCTCGTAGCAATCCTAACTCCTCATTTTTCCTATCCAACTCTTCCCGGTATTTTCTTTTTCTAGGAGTCCCATCAGTAAGGTTTTTATCCGTTTGCGTTTGCCTACTATTAGCCCAAGGTTTAAGAAGAGAGTGACCTAAAGAAGAATTTACTTCATCATGTGAAGCGGGTGGAAGGGATTCTTCTAAGGAATCTTCAACAATATTTGAGGTTGAAGCCCTTTCTGCCTCTTTGGCCGAAACAAGTACCGGTTGAAAATCTTCGACGCCTAACTCTATTACAGAGTCTTGTGCGTTTGGGTCAACTAAAATATCTGCTTCTATAATACTACCTAAGTAATTTTCCCTGTCAACTGTCACTGGGGGCGAATATACTCTTAAATTAATGTCCGGAACTGCCCATCTACAGAGGATCCGTCCCCCTCTCACCTTGTGGGAAAAATGCCTTTGGCATGCGAAAATAAATTTTGCTGTCGGGCCAGTCACACCCAACAGCCGTAACCATTCACGCCGCCTAGTAAAAAAAAAAAATCACGCATTAGATTTAATGTATGCACATATGGTCTTCTTCATATAGCACACGATCTTCAAAGTGACACAACTCAAAATTTGGCATTTTTGATATTATGTGTAAAAAATGTACACCGAGCATTTATTTACCTTGCAGCAAAAGCTGGAACAAATTTTTGTTATAATTTGATGAAAAAAACCTAAGGTAAAATTTTCCTTGCCCATATGATTAGCATGTAGTTACTACGAAATAGTTTTTCACATTTTATGACGAAACTGTTATATTGAGTTGTGTCACCTTTGAAGATCGTGTGCGATATACATACTTATGTGGATACATATGTACATACATATATAAGTGAGCAAAAAAGTGCAAGGTACTATGTAACTGATTAATAATCAGAGATTAAGTTAGTATTTAATTAGGGTTTCTCCAAGTAAATGCATATTAGTTGAAATTTTGATTTTTCTCTAAAAGCAAATGAGAATGTAACATGGGAAAGCAAAAACCGAAGTTTAAAAAGTTAGTGGGATGTAAAAGCAAAAAAGGAAGTCAATAAAAAAAAGCGGGATGATTCAAAATAAAATTTGTATATAAATTGATTGGTTAATTGATACATATATATATGTATATGTATATACATATATTGGTTAAAAGTTACTGCGATGTAGAAATAAGAAAGGAAATCAACAAGAAAAGCGGGATTATTAAAATAAAATTTGGATATGTATTGAAAAAAGTTTAACGATACCCATTCCGGTCCGTTCGGCCAAAACGACATTTCTG